GGTTAGCCGACGAGCTAGAACTCGATTATCTAGAAATCGATTAGGATATAGTAGAAAGTTAAGAGTAGATATAGTATATACCCTAGGTACTAATCTAGGACTTAATAGGACTTACGGCTAGGGAGGACCTTAGTTAGCGGTTATAAGACCCGCTAGGACTAGAGACTATAGATATAGGAATAAAGAAGTCCTAGGACCTTAAGTATCTTACGACTAACGATATAGGGCCTATAGAGATATAGAACCTAATCCCTAGAGCTAATAGTAATCTAGGAATACTAGATACGCTTCCCGAAATAGATTAAACTATCTTAAAGATACTAATAAAAAGCCCTATAAACTATTACGATAATAAAGAAGCTAAAGAGCTTATAGGATATCTCGAAGGAAAGATATAGCCTAGTAGACTAGACTAGTACTTTATTAACGCGATTAAGAAAGGCGACGACCTAGTAGGATACCCTTATAAAAATTCTACTTACGCGTATAAAGGATATACGTAATACTTAGGATATAGTAAGATAGCTAGTATTATATACTACGATAAAACGTATATTATTTATAGGTTAGTAAAGTTAGATTATAGTATCGAACTAAAACTACTATAGTAGATAAAGAAGCTATAATAGACGAAAGAATACTAGGGAATTTAGTATAATAGACGATAGATATATAATTATAAGGATCGATTAATAATATATCTAATAGTAATACTATTAGGAATATATATTAAACTATATATAAACCTATTAATAGGAATAGTATAGACTCTTATCGACTCGGGAGCTACTAATAACTTTATAAACCTAAGATTTAAAGATAATCGATAAGTTATAACTAAACCCCTATTATATATAATATCGGTTATAAGACTCGATAGAGAAGTACTTTCGGGAGGAGTTAGCGAAGAAACTATTATATTATCTATATCTATCTATAGGTATCTAGAATTAATATAGTTTAATATCTTAGAAATAGGAGACTATAATATTATTCTAGATATTCTATAGCTTAAGAAGTATAACCCGAATATCGATTAGTAATCGGGATAGATTACCTTCGATAAGTATAAATATATATAAGAATATAATAAGTATAAGATACGTTAATAGAAGTCTATCTAATAAAACGAGCGTAGTAAGTAGTCCCGAAGTAAGAGGACTAGAGTATTAGTTATAGGCGTCGCCCTAGATACTATAGAATAATCACTAGATATATCCGACTAAGAGTTAAAGGACTATATAATAATTAAATATAAGAAGCTATATATAACTAGCGATATATCTAGGATTCCGAAGGAATACTAGGAGTTTATAGATATTTTTATAGTACTAGCTAATAGAGTATTACCGAAGTATAGACCTTTTAACTATAAGATTAATATAATAAAAGGTACTAAACTAACTTTTATACCTATCTATTAACTATTATAAAAGGAGTCCGATATACTTAAGGATTATATTAAGGAGAATCTATTAAAGAGATATATCTAAGTCTCGAAGTTAGAGGCTAGATACCCTATTATCTTTATACTAAAGAAGGATAGGAGTCTTCGACTTTATATAGATTACTAATATTTAAATTCGATTACTATTAAAGATCGATACCTACTACCTTTAATTAACGAGATATAAGATAGGATTAGATACGCTAAATACTTTTCGAAGTATAATATTACTAATACCTACTATCGTATTAGGATTAAGCTAGGCTATAAATAGAAAACGGTATTTAGAATTAAGTTTAGATATTACGAATATAAGATTATACCTTTCGGCTTTACTAACGTACTAGTAATATTCTAACGCTTTATCTTTAAAGCGATTAAGGAATATTTAGATATCTTCGTTATTATATATCTAGATAATATTTTAGTCTTTTTAGAAATACTCGAAGATTATATTAAATATAATAGACTTATATTATAGAAACTAAGAGAAGTAGAAGTTATTTTTAAACTAAAGAAATACGAATTCTATATTTAAGAAACGACTTTCCTCGGATACTATATTACCCCTAAAGGACTAGAGATAGAAGAAAATAAGGTTAAAAGTATTATAGAATAGCCGATACTTAAAAATATAAAGAAAATATAATAATTTCTTAATCTAGCTAATTATTACCGAAAAATTATCGATAGATATACCGGAGTCGTATTAGGACTCTACTATCTTACTAAGAAAGATTAGAAATTTATATAGGATAAGATAGTAGATAAATTATTCTAGGACCTTAAAAAACTCTTTAATAAAGGAATAATTATAGCTACGTTTAGCTATAACCGACTAATTATTATAAAAACTAATATATTAGACTATACTCTAGGAGTAAGACTAATATAACCGGGAATTAATAGTAAGTACTAACTAGTTATATTTTAGTTAAAGAAAATAGTTCTAGTAGAACTTAACTATAATATATATAATAAAGAACTATTAGCTATAGTATTAGCGTTCTAAGTCTAGAGAGTATATCTAGAAGGAGTAAAATATATAATAATAGTTAAAACTAATTATAAGAATCTTACGTTCTTTACTATAACGAAGAAATTAATAAGATAATAAGCGCGATAGGCCGAAACCCTTATATAATACGATTTTAAAATTAAATACTATAAAGGAATAAAGAACGGATAAGCCGACGCTTTAAGTAGACGACTAGACTACGAATTAGGAACTAAGATAGTAGATCCTACTATATTAAGATAAAACTCTAATAGTACTATTTTATATAATAAGTAATTACTAGCCGCGATAATAGAAATTAAGGATAATAACTTCTTATAGAAAATCAAAGACGTATTAGAGGAAGATACGATTAATTAACTTATTAAGAAGGGTAGAAAACTTACTAAAGATAACTAAGGATTACTCTATATATATAGATTAATATATATTCTAAGTAAGCTAAAAGAAGAGGTTATACGTCGATACTATAATAATATCTTATATAGATATATAGGAGTAGAATTGCGATTTGCTAAACCGGCGCCGTTTTCGGCGCCCCCCCTCTTAGGGTTTAGCGCCCGTAGGGCCGCTACCGCATCCGGCATCGCGTCCGTCTACTTAGGGTTTAGCCCGTCCGCAACGGGTTTAGCGCCTTACGCTAGCCCTAATCGGGATCTGCCGTCTCGTACCGCCCGTCTCGCGATATCCGCTATCTATATAATCCGCGGTACGTCGCTCAACGACAACTCTCTTCTTTCCTACGCCTATTCCCCCCTTTCCCCCTCTATTATTTTTCGCTAGCATTATTCCCTAATCCGCTAACGTAGCCCCTACTAGCTAAAAACTCTACGCCCCGAATATAGCCTACTTCCCTACTCGCGGAAATTTGAAGGAGTCGTCGGTCTAGCCCTACGAGTCGCTCGGATCGCCCTTAATTTCCTAGTTCTATATAGCTTAATATATTCTTCGTTTTATACTATACGCTATAGAGGGTCGCTATTTCAACCGTTATAGATATTACCCTCGGTCTACTTAATAACTAGATATCTAAAGTAGAATATAGGAGGACTACTAGCCGCTCTTTATCTTAGGCTTCGGTTTACGAATACTACGTAGTATACTATAGAACGGCTACCTCTACTCTTTCAGACGACCCCTGATTAAATAGCCGGTAAGTCGCTCGCTAGACCCGCTTCCGCTCTCTATCTAACCGCAAAAATACCTTAAGGAGGTCTAACGCTAAGCTAAGATATCGCAAATATCTATAAAATTAATAGCTTATATAATCGGCTTACGTAATTAGCGAATTATAGGCTACCGCTCGGATTAAGGGATTTTTTTCTTATTAATATCTTCCTAATCTATTAATTATTAGCTAAGGTATCCTAGAGGCTATAATATTATACAGTAGCTACTACGAACCTAAGGCGCCCTTTAACGAGGCCGGTTAGCTAGATTAGTCCGGAGTACTCTTAAGTAATCGCCTAACGTAAGTAGCGAATAGTATTAACGAGGTAGTACTATCGTAGTTCTCGGTTATATAAGGTCTATAAGGCGATATACTATATAATTCCTTAGCTAGTAATACCCTAGCGGCGCCTAGGTATTAAAAAGGATAACTAACCTCCTTTTCCTATTCTTTAGATATAATTTAGAACGGACGTAGATATATTAGCCTAGTAACTACTATACTCTTATTTAAGCTTACTTTATTATCTATTAGTTTCTACCTCCGCTATATCTTATTACTTTCTTAAGAATAAGGGTAGATCTTAATTAAATCGAGTTCTACTATAGCCTAAGTCGCCCGCCGCTTTCTACTAGTATAAAAAGCGTACCCCCTAACCACGCCCTAGCTTATATATTACGATACCTCTAGTAGTCTTTTTCTACTAGGTTCGGCTTCTATCTAGGACCGTATAAGGTACCCCTAGGATAGTCACCGCTACTAACCGGTATAACTTATAAGTAGAATATATTTAACCTCGAGATCAATTATATCTATAGACCTACTTAGACTAAAATAATAAAAGATATCGGACCCTTAGTAATAATAGATATACTAGCTACCTATAATATTCTATTAGATCGTAGAAGTTCCGCGCTAGCTTTCTTAGAGCTAGTACTATCGATATACTCCGCGAGAATAATCCTATATCCTATAGGGCTAAATTACCTAGACCCTATTCTTCCTAATATACGAGAAGATAATCTACTAGGTAAGCTAATATAATATATTAAAATTCAGCTATTATCCTCTTATTATCTAACTTTTTTTATATTATAGATACTATTCCTAATACCTAAGAAATAGAGACTTCTTAACTATCGTATATACCCTATATAACCGTACCTATATTTGTACTAGAACCTATACCCGAATAAGCGAACTATATCTCTAGTAACCTATCTATAGTAGGTAGTTTTTAGTAAGAATTAGCTAAGCGGAAGTTATCTACTATAGAGCCCTTAGATAGTTTAGATAGTAGGGATTACGAAAATAATTCGGAGCCGAGTTAGATATCTAACCTAGGTTAAAATCTATACTTAAGGGCAAATAAGGCTTATAAGCAGGCTAAAGATCCTAGTACTATTAAAGACACGCTAGCTATATCTAGGCCGTCCTTTCCGCCGATAGCTCGCTCTATATTAAAATATTCTCGAGCTCGAACGATACTAAGTTCTAAACCCCCGGTACGCTACCTATCGATAGCTATAATTATACCGTTAACGTCCTAGAAACAAGGAGCCGCTAGGATAAGTATAAGGGCCGCTACAGTAGTATATAAGAAGCGACTCCGCTTAGGTCGAGGCACCGGCGACTACTAAGACGAGAACACTTTTTATAATATAGTATAGCCGTATTAAAAGAGGAAGAAAAGGAGACCTTCAATTAGGCCACTTTCCGACCCTTCGAAATCTTCCGTTCCTATTTTATCTTATCGCTCTAGTACTATCTAGGGCTTATATAGGAGTGCTATCCTTACGATCGAGTCTAATACTAGTCTAAAACCGGTATATTTCTTTACTTTCGTACCCGACCCTAGCCTAATACTACCTCTAGCCTATACAGCGGTTATTCCCCTATTAAAACATACGTATATATCGGACGAGAATATACTACTCGTACGGCTAAAGGAAAAAGAGGCAATATTATAGTCTGAGATTACGACTTACTTCCTAGGTCGAAACATATCATCCCTTTAAGTCTACTATTCAACCAAATTACGTAATAAGGCTAGTTCTCGGTCTAGAAAACCGAGGAGAGGCGAATAAGAGAGGCTATACTATCGGGATATTTCTTGGTTTACGCCTATCGACCTTTCGCTATATATAATATCCTCTGTAGCTATCTATTTCAATATAAGCATTAAGTGCAGCTTTGTGTACTCTGTAAACGGCGGACCTATAAATTACTATATCGGGTTAGTTTTTCCTTTTTAGGTTTAGCGCCCCTAATATACCGTTATGTAACCCTACCTTCAATACCCGCCGATATAAAAGACCCGTCTTTACTTACTCTTCCTCCCTTTCTCTTACTTTTCTATTTTTCTGCCTCTCTATCTTATACTTATCGCCGCCCCCTTTCTTTTACTCTAGCCCCTACCGACTACTATATATTTGCTTTTAGCCCGACGTACTAGAAAATAAAGTATTAATATATAGTTATACGATACGGTAGATAGCTAGATCACCCTAGTGTTTCTACCCCTAAGCGACTAGATAGTATTAGAGCCTACGCTAGTTAGAACGACTAGGGAGTCGGATCGAATAGTATCTCCGGTAAAAATAAAAGAGGCAAAGATATCTATAATTCTATCTAGATCGCTTACTTTCTACTAGTAAGGCCTTTCTATTAAGTATCTGTTATTACGCTAACCCCCCTTATTATAAAGTCTTCTCGATACTATATACTCCGCTTTATCCGCCCTATCTTAGGCCCCTACCTAAGGTTATATTATATAGCCTTTAGCGTCGTAGATTTACTCTCGGCCGCTTACTCGTATGGTTCTAGGATAGATATCGAGTGCTATAAAGCTAGCTATAAGGCCTTAGTTCTAGGCCCTATAAGAGTCGTTAGCGATACCCGAATTCGATATAGGGCCTTTAAAAATAAGAATAGGCTGGCTATAAATTAACGAAGCTATTAACTCGGTATCCGTTTACTTCTAATTAGAATAGAATCGTATTTACCGTATCTAGCGAGAATATAGACTAGAGAGGTTCTATACGAATCCCCCGAGCGAGGAGAACGAGTATAGGATAGTTTCCGAATTAGTAATAGCTCCTTATTATAATTAGGATAATAAAGTGCTTTATAGTACTTAATACTTTATATATACTATCTTAGTTTTATATAATCTAATCGGGTTATATATATATATACGATAAATCACGTAAAGTAGTATCTAATCGTCTCTTAGTAGTAGCCTACTCGAACTATTAGCTCTTAGGTATATAATAAGCCTTATACCCTAACTCTAGCTTAGTTAGACTTCTACTTTCCTCCTATCTAGTCTACCTAGTATCTAGGTATACCTCTCTTCCTTTTAAGCCACGATAACTAGTCCGTTAAGTACGATTATTATTAAAGATAACGAACTACCCCTAAGCTAGCGGCTAACCGATTTATAAGTCTAAAGAAGATCTCTACGTATATCTCTTAGGATCCTAATCGAACCAACCGATACTACGAGTAGTAGAATAGAACTATTACGTAAACGTAAAAGGGCTAAAGGAAAATAACGTAATACTCTAGTATGGCTTTTCCGAGACGCTCTAATTTCCTAAGCTAATAATAGACTAGGATACCTATTTTAAGAAGCTATATAAGATACTTAACGAAGAAGTTAAAATTCTCGATTAAGAAGTTAAAAAACTATAAAAGTAAGTCTAGGAACTTTAGGGTAAGCTTCTCCTATAGGAAGAGCGGTATTAAAAGGAACTTTAGAGCAAACTTCTCCTATAGAAAGACTAGTATTAAGAGGAGCTTTCTCGAATACGTATTCTAAACTATAATATTTGCTACGAGTAGCCGGATCGTTAGTATATACGGGTATACGGGTATTTAATTTATAAGGTATACGAAGAACGGCTTAATCGAGATCTATACCCTATATATAGAAAAGAATTTTCGGGGTTTATTAAATACTTTCTATTTATAGGATAGATATATATATATTTTCTATTTAAGACTAAATTTAAGGTCGACGCTTACTTAGTAATTTTACTCGAAATCCTCTTTTATTAGCTTAAGAACGATTATAGTTTATAAATACTATAAAGTCTATAATATATAATTAGAGGATAAGGGTTAAGACCGTATTAGTCGTAGACCCTCGGGTTATTTTTAACTTTCTTATCGATATTAACGTCGTCTAATAGATTAAGATTATTACTCTATATCTTATAGTTAGTTCGAAATCAATAGAATATTCTAGTTTTCTTACAATTTCGTAAGGTAGCTAGATAATATAAGATAATTGAACTTAAAAATTTAAATATTATAATAGGGGAATAGGTATATCTATATCGTAGAAGACGGGTATACTTATATATCTTATATACCTTATCTATATTACGCTTTTGTACCTTATAACTATTACGCCAATTTCTTATATCCGGTTAATACCGCTAGAGTCGAAAATTATCGGTATACAATATTTAGGATAATAGAATATTCTTAGGGCTCGAAAATTTCGGGCTATAGATTTTATAATCTCTTAAATTATACCGCCTCTTAAAATTTGCGCCCTACAATTTTCTTAAAGGTCAAATATTCCGAAGACAAAATTTTAAAGGGATCTTTTATTTAGGCTTACTTAAGATTTAAGCTCTTTAAAAGGGCTTATAGTAAGCTATTAAACTGACCTATTTGATTTACTCCTTCGCGTAAAAAGGGATAGTTTAACTGTAAGGTTCTTTAGGGGGGCTACGCCTTTTAGGCTAATATACTAAAACTATTAGTTAACTATAACTAACTATATTAGCGTATATTAGTTATTAATTTCAATCTAACCTCTATATATACGGAAGATAGTATAGAGATCGTAGTATATTCAATTTATAAGCTTACCTTTATTTCTATATTAAACGAAAGACGGTCTATTCTAACGATAAGTTTCGCCCTAGGAATCTTTTAAAGTCGGTATTCCGTATTAAAATCTTTATATTCTAGACTATATAGTCTCGTAGTATAACTTCTAAATTCTTTATATACTTACTATCCTTAAAAATAAATACTAATAGCTAAACGATATCTCCCGTTCGTTCTTTAATTAGAGTAAAATTCTTAAGTAATCGTAGTAACCGATAGAAAGATAGGAGAATAAGAGAAAGCTACCCTATTCTAATTCTAAAACGATAGATTTTAGCGTGACTTAGAAACACTGCTATATAGCTCGTAAAAGGGTTATTACTTAAGTCCTTCTTAGATCCTAATCGTGGTATATAGCTAAGTTCTACTAATAGGATATTATAATTAAGTAAAAGCCCCTTTAGGTAGAAGAGATTCTAGTTTAGGCTAGAAGAATCCTATCTACTCGCCTCTTCCTAGTATTACGTTTCCCTATTTTCTAGCTATAAAGTACCGTTCCTAGAAGATTACGGAACGGGATACGGGGCAGAGTAATCCCTAGAGTATACAAACTTATAGTAATAACTAAAGACTTCCTTATTAATACTCTCGATTATTACTAGCTTAAGGGCCTTTCTTAGAAAAGAACTTTCTAATACCTAGTAAATTAAGAATTGCTTTTAGTTTTTACTAATAAAAAAATAAACGAGATTAGATTATAGGACTCTACGCAATTATTAGGAATTAGAACAATCTTTATCTAAATAAGGGCAAACTTAATTATAATATATAAGCCGTATTATATAGAGAGTATTTAGAGATAGAAAGATATCTATCAAAGGCGGTAGTATTTTTTAATTTAATAGTAGGATAGTAGAGAGCAAAGGTTTTCTTCGATATTCTTTTTCTAGAAGAGGATTCTCGTAGCTCTTTATAGTAATTAGCTAGGCCCTAGCTCTGCTTTTAGTTATGGTCTTACGTCCGTAGCGCTATTATATTATCGCCTAATAAAAGCTACTATAAAGACCCGCTCCTATAGCAAGCTAATAAGCTAATAAAATCAATCCTTACTAGTAGTATATTAGGCCGTTCCTAGGAGTGATAGGGTAGCACGGATATATAAATTACGCGTAGAAAAGGTTACTAAGGATCGCCTATATAGTAATCAAATAAGGGTATCGTATCCTAATCTTAGTATGATATATATATGGTATTATATTTTTAAAGGATATAGGAAGATCAATACTCCGAGGCTTTTCCTAATATAGACTAGTATGCTTACCTAAACGAGCTCGAAAAACAGTATAAGAATAAAAGTAGTAGCACTAGTTTCGGGACGGACTATATCTAATAAGATACGTCAGGGGCTAACGTCTAGGAGGCCATTACGGGACCCACTTCTTCAGCGGCAAATCGGCTAACAAGCTCGAACAGCTATTAGCTTCTATATTAAGCCTCAATTCTAACCTTTCCTCCCTTTACTCTCATATAGGTTTTCTAGTATCAAATCATAGATTAGTAAGGAGATATTTCTTATTATTTTATTTAGGGTATTAGCTTTAACTACTATTAAGCTAGCTTTTACTTCTATATTAAACGAAAGACAGCCTTTTCTAAAGACGGTATTCTTTCTAATAGCTTTAAAAAATCGGTATCTTATATTATAACTTCTATATTCTATATAGTATAATATTACAATACGTCTTATATATCCTCTATATTCTTACTGTCTTCGAAACAAAATTCCAAAAGCCTCACGATATCCCCTATACGGTCTTTAGATAGTTCGAAGTTTTCGAGAGATTAAATCAGCCGATATAGTGATAAGGAACGCAGTAAGCTCTAGTCTATTCTATAAGCAAACCGGTATATTCTAGCGTAATATAAAAACACGTTTATATAGCTATATCGATAACCAATAATCGAGTCTTCAGCGATATACGCTCGTAAAGTCTAGTTAGCTTATTCTAGTAGGTACCTATAGATACGAGGAAGTATTATTAGGTAGAAGATATTTTTTATTAGATTCCGAGGATCCTATCGTCCTAAATCCTACCGAGTAAAGTCTTCTTTAGAGCGAGATTTCCTAGCATCTCTTCCCGAAGGGTTTAATATAGGAGATAGAATAGAATAATCGCTAGTATATACGAATTCACAACAACAAGCAAAGACAGCTTTATCAACATCTTCAATCATAGACGGCATAAGGGCGCTAGCTAGAAAAGAGCCTTCTAAAGCTTCATGAATCGAGAAGCGCTTTTTCTCTTTCCTAATAAGAAGATAAATAACACCGGATTATAAGATTCTTCGTAATAGTTAGAAAAAAATAATTCTATTTATAAAATTAAAGACTTACCTATAATACTCGAGCTATATTTCTACAGCGGGGTCGAATAACTTTAATACTAAGAAATAATAGGGATATATAGCTTAGGCGAGAAGATTATCGACTCAAAGGTTAAAAAGCAGAGAAATAGATTAATATGGTATTATATAAGAAGGCGGGGGCCTTTTACGCTACGATCATTCATAGTTCAGGGCCCTTAGGGTATCTAGTAGGACTCAATAAGCTAATATAGCCTTTATAGTAGCACTCTAGACTAGCTCACTATTAGGTCACTATTCAGCGCCCCTAGAGCGCCGCTATACTAACATCTAATAAAAGCCACTATAGAGATCCGCTGCTATAGTAGGCTAATAATCCAATAAAATCAGTCCTTACTAAACAGCGTCCGGCTAAACCGGCGGTCGTAACCCGTATAGTAACCTCTAGACCATCTTAGGATTGGTCTAGGCCTAGAATGATTAGACTAGAAGAGAAGTAACACGAAGAGCCAGTTCATATAACGTATAGCCTTCTATATCGCCTATACTCTTTAGTAGGCCCTACTATGACTAATTCCCTCTTAAAAGGATTTTCCCATATACTAAGCCCTCTCGGAAAGAGCCTCTTATTCTCTGCCTTTTATATAATCCTAACTCCTAAAATAAGCTAGCTAAAAACAATCTATTATCAACGTCCTTTTATATTACTATTTATAGGATACTCTATATAGCTCTATTATAGATATAAAAGCAGTCTTTTATCTTAGTACCATACCTATTAGATTCCTCTTAGGGTATTATATATCTTATCTATAGTACGCTCTTATTTCAAGCCATATAGGTCTATTAAGGACCTAAAAGGAGTATCTTATAAGAACCTAGGATACCTTCTACCCTCTACCCGGTCTAATACTCGAGATACTATACCTAGGAGTTTCTTCTCCTTTATAACTCGACCCTCTGCCGTAAGCTTCTTCTCCTTATACTCGGAAACTATAAAGAAGGCGTTATTACCATTAGCTATCGCTACATAGTAATATTAGGCTAGCCTTAGGTTATATAAATTCTTATCGTATAGGGAATAATTCTTCTATAAATACTTTTACGCGACTCGTTCTAGCGGCGATAGATCTAACGGATTAACGCGGAGCCGGTCTAACCGTCTCTACTCTCCTCATTTAAGGGACCAGAGCTCGATCTCAATATACTATTAAGGGGGCCGCTACTCGACCGCCCTTAAGGGTATAAGACCGGCTATAGAGGAATCTAGGACAGAGGTATCTTTAGTAACTAGAGGAGTAGGGTAGGGATCTATCGTAGATCCTAGCGTTCCTAGGCGTAGAGATTCTACCAACGCTTCGTAGGTAATAGCGTCTAAAGCCACTACGGCATCCACGATATGCCTATACGCGGGTTCCTCGGATCGGTACTTAAGGCGTAGTAGCGATAAATCCTATCTATCTTCTTATAGAGAAGGCTTCCCGTTCTATAGTTGCTCTAGTTCGCCGAGCTCCTAATAAAGCCGCTTATTTTCTAACCTCTCTTCTAATTATTCCTATTCTTCCTAAGCTCTTCTTAAACTAGCAAGAAATTTATCTAGATTTTCCGGTAGGGGTTAGCTGTATACTAAGGAATTGTTTGCCTCTAATTCTAGAGAAACTCGCCGAACTTCACCGTCGACCTATGTCTACTCGTCTAGAGTATCGTCTTTATTAGCCTCTTCGGCCATTTTTTGCTCTTCCTAGTCCTCTACGAGCGGAACTACGTCTAGGGAGACTCGTATATAGTTACTCCTACTATCTTTAATATCTAGTATAGTAGAGGTAGGGGAAAAAAGCGTAATAGCCGTCGCTAGTTCGACCGGCTCCGGCTAGCTTTAAGGCCCGACTAATATAGAATTTTCTTTAGGCGAACTACTCTAGTTTAATATAACCTAATTATGATTTACGTCTAGTAGTTCTAACTCTATTAGCTCTTAGTCTATATCCCCCGCCGGGCGCGAGATAGCTTAGTATATTTGATAATTTCGCCTTCGTCGACGCCTCGCGTTTTCTTTTTAGTCCGTCCGTAATAGCTACTAACTTCTACTACCTCCTCGCCCTATAATCACTTCAGCTATCTACTACTATAGCTCCCCCTATTGCTCGTAAGGTAGATAGGGGTCTAGTATAGGCGTATAAGTAATAAGGGGGCCGTCCTCTTCGACAAATATTAGCGAAGGAGGTATCTCCTCTATCCCTTAATCTAGATTATTGTCCTTAGCTTAGTTAATATTGCTAGTCACAACCTAGGTAGACTTTCCGAAAAATATAAAATATATATAACGGCGGACGAAAAAGCTAATAATATTATCGGTAACCTTAACATTAGCGTATAAACGGTCTAAGAAAAGTAAAGGTCTATCTTACTTATAAGTCCGTATTTAGGGTTCCCCGGTACGGGTCTTTAGCTTTATTACGCTATCCGCTAGAAGACCCTAAGGCTACTCTAGTCGGTCGGAAACAGCCTTAGCGAAATAGCTCACAATCTAATTGACTAAAAGATCAAAATCCTAGCTATCGTATCGATACCGATTAGGCTTTCGGGCTTATAGGAGAGCCGATCGTACGATCTAATGATCGGGGGAGCTCTTAATTAGTATATCGATTTTAGTAGACTAAAAGCTAAGCTAGTAAGCGAGTTTAGCTATCTCGTAAATCGCCCTCTTATCGGGCTTAGAACGAGTTGATTTTACTAACAACTTATCATCGCTCTTTAGGTCCGGGGGTATCAAGGTATAGTATCTTATCGCGTAAAGCTATATTTATAGATATCCTATCTCGAGGCGTTCTATATCAGTTGCTTATTAGCGTCGGAAAGTAGACTCTAATATCTAGATAAGCGAATCTACTACTCCTAATATCGCGGTTCCCTCTTCTAAGGGTAGAATAAATATTAAACTTATAGTTCTCCAGATCGATATATCGATTAGACCATAGAGCCGCTTAATATAGTAGGTATAGGCCTCTAGGTACTTAAAGTCTTCGAAAAAGGTATATAAAGACGGGATTAGGCTATCAAAATTCTACATTCGGGACTATATAATCCGTCGCTCCTCGTCGCTAAACTCGGTAAAAGCTTAGCCGCTTAGGATCATTCTATAAGCAGTTCCCCTATTAGTATATAATTTACCGGGCGCTAGTAGCTATAGGGAATTCATGGTATTCTAGTCGATCTTCTTTAGTAAGGCGTAGTCCGAAGCGACTAGGGAGGACTAGAAGTCCTAAATATAGTATAGATAAGTTATAGTCTCCTATAACGAACGAAGCGTTTAATTAGTAAGGGTAGAAGGAAGCTAGGTTTCTAGAACTCACTTTAATATATCCGGAAGCTATTAGTCTATAAAGTATACTAATTCTTATCCCCCCCGGCTAAAGCCTAGGAATCGTCAATAACCTATCAAAAGCACCTCGAATATAGCGGTTTTTCTTATTATCTAACTAATTTAAACGCTCTTAGTTACTACGCGATAGACGTACAAACCATCACTCCTAGAAGGTTTTATCGTAATCGCCCTCGTATTATCGAATCTTATAATAGATTTTACCGTCGGTCGGCTTCCTTTCGTTAGCGTATTCCTCTACTAAGGAAGTTCTAAGCTCTACGCTAATATCTACTATAATTGTTAGTATATAATTAACCATCTTTTCTCGGTATAGTTACTATCGGAGTAAAGATCTACCGTCTACTAACGATTAGCGGGAGGTAGTACCTTAGCTCCGGCCTAGATATAGTAACGACTATAAAGCCTAAGTAACTACCTATCTAGAAAACTAATTCTAGGTAGTTAACGAGTATCCGTCGTTAATAGTAACTACTATAATATATTGGCCTTCCTTAACGTATTAGCGAGATTATATAGCGATACGATAGCAGGGATATAATTGTCAATATCTAGACGGTAACAATAGTTCTAGCGGAAGACCCTACGAAGTCGATCCAAATTTTTAGGATCTAGATCCCGAGGTAAAGGAGGATCGAATTAGATTTGACTAATACTAACTTTCGCTATTCTAATATATTTTAGTTGCCGCTCACTTACTAGTTACACCTCTTCTTCGGTAAATAAAACGCGGCTTATTATAAGATAAAGCAATAGGAAAGAATAGGATCTCACGATATAACTTAGGATCGAGCTTTATTTATACTTGCCCCGGCTAAATTCAGCCAATCTACCTAGCGTAGTACTTCTTTATTACCCTACCCCTATAAGGCCCCTTAGTGACCCGTAGTATATCACGTCAGGGAGTCGTTAAAAGACTATAAGTAATACTTTATAAAGCTATTTTTTCTTTACTTTCTTACCTAGATCTAACTATAAGCAGCTCTATCATAAAGTCGAATACTAATAATCGAGCTATAAGAGTCCAACCGTCTTAGGTTACACTACTTCTATCCGAGAATAAAGGAGTATCGCAATTTTCCGACCCTAAATCGAAGTCTAGCAATTTCGTTCCTAGTTCCTACCTAACTAAATCCCCTCTATCCTTACCTCTAGAGCCTAGCGGCAAGGTTATTAGAGGTTCGCTATAAGCCTTAGCTCTTTAAGCGAACAGCCGTACTAGCTCGGATTTTAATTTATAGAACGAGTCCCCTTAGGACACTTATAAGAAACACTACGAGTATAATCTAGCTAGAATAGTTATTATATACATCCGGTCTTCCGATAGGCGTACTATACGGGCGATTCGTCAATTCTTAAGCATAGACTACAATAAAATCCTTAAAGTTCTCCGTTCGATAAATTATAAGAATATTACTTCTATCTAGGAATGTTTTTGTACCTCTAATTCCCTATATACTCTAAGCGAATTTGACCCATTATCACTAGATCATATTGTTACTTATAAGGCTTTCCTAGACTAGTAACAGCTAGCTACTATTATATCCTAGGTCTATACCTTAAACATCTTTTCACAGAACGACTAAACCGTTGATAGAGTATAGTTTCTAGAAAGACTAGCTTATTTAGTAGCCTAGGGCTTCCGTTATACTTCTTTAGATTACTCTAGCATTCTTATAAATCTTAGTAGGGAGGTCAAGATCGGTAAGCCGAATATAAGGACGCCTCTTCGGAAATATTACCTAATAGAACGAATAGCGCGGGTTGATTACTATATCCCCTAGTAGATAAGCCGAGTCCAAACGAGTGACCTAGCGCCTATATCGAGAATCATAATAGAGTTGATACAAAAATACGCCAAGGACGACGGGGTAGTCGGTATTAATAATCTTAAACGCTAGTTAGCTTATCTAGCTACCATAGAATTTCTTTCTACAATTACCTTAGCTAGCTCCTTTAAAGAACTAAAAAAGGTTTATAAGCCGCCTAGTAACTTCGCTCTAAACTCGCTTACTATTTTTTAGTAACCCTTTTTAATAGAAATTCGGTAGAGTCCCGGCGATCTTATCGGCCTAGCCTAGTTTACTCTAATATCCGCTCGTACGTTCTACTCGTATATATAGAATTAAAATAGGAATCTAGCGTAAAGGATAGGAGTAGGTTAGGGTATATAGTCTAAAGTCTTTAGAAGTAGTTAGGATAAGAGAGGATATTTAACGTAGTATATATTATAGTTATACTATAACTAAGCTTTAGAAATAAATTAAGTCTTTCGTATATAATAGTAGAACAAAAATTTTAGGTACGATAAGAGTATTCGGCAACAATAGTATAATATAAAGGGGTATTAACGATTGATACTTTATCTATGCTTATTTAAAAGATTCACGACTTCGGGAGTCACTCGTTATATTAGTACTACGTTATCGGAATCCTAGCCGAGAAGATTCGTTATTTTGCGTATTATATACTTTTCGGCGTCTACTACTTCCTAGGAATCCTAGGAAAGTTGAACTTTTAATACTTATTCGTCCTTATTCTAAATACGTACTAGTTCTACTAGCCGGAGGAGACCGGTATTATTATTAAAGAGAAGTTCATAAAGATCGTCCGTTACTTATCCAAACATAAGAGATTTTACTATAGACTCTAACGCTTCGAATATACGTATAGTCCCCGGGCGTATTTTCTAAGAGAAAGCGACGAAAGCTTAAATCTAAGGATTAGTAAACGACTTATTATACCTATTTATACGGGTCAGCCAAACCACGCGATAAACTAACGGCGGATATATATAACGTTAACTAAAGAAGTATTGCCTAGCAAAAGTATACCGACTCCTAGAGTACCTATAAGCCTCTACCACTATCTACCGCGGCGAATATAGTAGCCTATTACCCTATCGCGCCGGTATTATAGTGATTTCGAATAGCGGGGATCGTCCTAATAAGCAGCGAGGATACTATTTAGCACTTAAGTTATATTAGCCTTTAACGAGGAATAGGAAAGGTGCCTATTTAGGTATCTACAAAGCTCCTCGTAATTAAAGTATAGTAATACCTACCCGATACGCTTTATAATAGGGTTCAAATAAGGTAATTTCTACTCGTAATCAAGTATTCGAAGGTAGTCCGTAGCTCCGTCTATACCTCTCTATTATACTAGAAGTCCTAGAGCCGGTAGTTTAAGTAACTTATAGGAATCCTAATAATCAAACAGTAGACGTAGTATTTAATTAAGATCCTTTATAAAGAGGGAATCGGCGCTAGTATCGAGAATACCCTAAGTACAATTATTATCGAGCGTAGTATCGTAAGAACGTAGTAAATATTTTAAGCTTTCTTCCGAGGAATTAAGCGTTATTAGAACGACTAGATAGTCCTCTCGGGTACTAATAGGTTTATTTATACTTTCTACTTAAGTATCCGAGAGCCGTCTAAATTCTAGGGGAATAGGTTGCTACCTTATACTAAGTTCTTTAATGTTAAAAGAAGGCGGCGTCGGATAGTATAAAAGGCCCTTATCGAAACTAGGCGCGAAGATAGGTATAAGCGACGCTATCGTAGTATCTAGCTCCGAGTTAGGAAGCGTACTTTCGTCTAGATTCGGATAGGAAGTCTCCGGTAAATTTAGATTATCTATCCGCGATAGAGAATCAGCGAATATTAATAATATATTAGGTATTAGATAAGGGCTAATAGGAGGCTAAGGTAGTAGATATAGAGCGGGTTAAATAGTATCGGTAGCGTAGTTCCCTTTAAAGATAGTGAATAGTTAGATAAGGCGAGAAAGATCGGTATCGAAGTTAGTATTACCTAATAATACTAAACTATCCTAAATAGGTTCTAATACTAGAAAACTATCTATAAATCTAGTAGACTCGAGTCTAATAGCTACTATATATATCTAAGGCCTTGTTAACTTCCGAAGCTATTCTAAATTAGCCCTAAAGCGCCGAATAAGCTACTAAAAGTTAGAACGAAGAATAGTAACTATATAGAGTGACTTATAGCTAAAAGATACTTCCTATCTAAAGTAAAAGGGTTTATCGCCGTATCGTATTCCTAATACGTTAGCTGCTAGTACCTATAAGTGCCTAGGGAGAGAGTACTTACCTCGAATTTAACCGTAATACTAAACGAGATATAGTAATCGGTTCGATACGTTAACGAGAAATACGACCTATTAAGGGTAGTTAGTATATACTATCGGGTAAAGCTAGCCTATTTAGCGCGCTCTAAGACTTCCGCTATCTACCCCTTATCTAATAGTCCGACTTTTTCTAGGCTTTTACTAAAATAGTTTACTAGCTAGCTTTAATAAGCACCGTTTATAAGCGATATAAGGTTCACTTATATTAGAGGAATTATCTTTATTCTACTCTTAACCGTATTTTAGGTAAGAATCCTTTAGAATAAATAAGAGGAAAGTTATTAAGTTAAAGAATAGGTATTTACCTAGAGACTAACGTAGAGAAATGTTATTAAGATTTTAATAGCTTAAAAAGGTATCTAGGTATAATAGATAAGGAAATAAAGGCGAGCTATTGCTAATAAATTTCGATATAGAAAGAGAGGACGCTGTTTAGTAGCTAAGGAGAGAATACTAGCCTAACTTCCTAGAAAAAGAGGGAAGTAAGAGGCGGTAAAGGGTTTTATAAGGGCTTTAGGGCGACCGACCCTCTAAAAAAAGAGGGTCTCTAAAAAACTACGTTAAAATCGTTAAAATCGTTAAAATCGGCGTAATCGTAGTCCGCTAGGAAGGATAGGGGCGTAAGCGCTAGGTCGCTATAAGAAAGACTTATAATATACGCGCCTAGAAACTTTTTAATATATAAAAGTATAGAATTTCTTAGAGCGAGAGAAAGATTCTTACCCTAAGAGGAAGTTAAGGGTGATATAAGTAAGCGCTATCTTACGTAAGAATCTCTAACGGACCCCTAAACCTATAAAGTTTACCCGCTCGTACCTCGTATCGAAATTAGGGTATATAGCTAATCAGCTAGCACTACTACCTTAACTAAAACGGACTACGGTCAATTTTTGTTATACGTCTCTCTAATATTAAGAAAAGGAAGATAAACTTTATAAAATATACGAATAAATTATGATTTCTAAACTATAAACTATTCTAATAGTATCCGCGTATCCGTTATCGAAATTCGTAATAATCTATATAGTTTTCCTACTTAGGCTAATATTCTAGCTCTAAAAGCTTAATACCCTAGTAGAGATAGCCTCTTATAATATCGCGTAAGCGATCTCTAAGACTATCGCTTACGGAAACTATATAAATATTAGAAATAGTAATAACTACGAGTTAATAGAAATCTACTTACCTATTATAAGTATTCGACCTAGCTTATCTAGGATATTCGGTAGTCTCTCTATCTAACTCCTAGATACTTCGGTTAAGATTATTTTACGATAATTAGGTAAGCCCTAGTAATAGTATATCCTTTTATATTTTCTAACCGGTATTCTACTATTTATAAGACCGTACTCTATATAAATAGATATACTAAGTATCTAGCGTAGTATATTATTAGTAATAAGGACAAACTCTATAGAAGATTCAACTAATATAACCCTTATCTATAATATTATCTTTAAGGATATTATTAATCTACTCTTCGGCTATACTTACTATTTCTTTCTTATTAGCTTCGGTCGGACGAAGGACCGTAGTTAATATATATACCGATAGAATCTACCTACTAGACTAGATATAGTCGGCGAGTTTAGGATATATATATATTATAGCTATAAATCATTTTCTTAAGATATAGGATCGAAGTCGCGATCCTAAATCCGGTCGTAATTATTAGGGTAGTTTCGTAGGGATCGACGTCTTCGGTAAGTCTATAAGGTCCGGTAAATAAGGCTAAGAATAATACCGAGCTATCCGTAGGCAGCGTACTATAGCGTACGAGATCTATAGAGAAGCTATTTCGAGGTTATATAAGTAGCTTTAAAGTATCCTATCTACCCCTAGACTAGGATATAATAGTAAAAGGGTACGTCTAAGTCTATAACTATAAACTTACCGACGGTATCTAGAGGTTAATATATTAACTAGGCTTAATATATACTAGTCGAGGTAAGATAATTTAGATATTTATAGCTATAATTCTAGGGACGCTTTCCCCTAGTATTTTTTTACTTAAGAATAATATAAAGGCTCGAGGAGTATTATAGCCGGAAAATATCCCGTTACGATATAAATAGTTCGCTAACTCTAGAAGCGTTATTAGCCCTAGGATATCTAGTGCTATATAGACGTATAGTCTCGCTAAGCTAGTAGGGGTAGGAAAATACTACTAGGTACTATAGACAAAAAGTCCGGTAAGTATCTAATAGCTTTAGAGAAAGATTTTATAAGACTAACGACGAAAGTATAGAATAGAAAATAGAGCTAGGATACCGAGTATAGAAGTACCCTATATCTATTAGTAAGGCTAAATCTATAATATATAGAGAGGGGTATATATAATTATAGTAAGTAGGTTTTATATCTTAGCGAGAGGAAACCTAGATATTTTGCCTTAAAGTTCGACGATAATATAGAATGACAGCAGAGTAACAGCTATCCAACTAGTTGCTCGATAGATCTTACGATAAGTACGCTAGGTAATTCTAAGCAGTCCGGCTAGGAAACTAAGGTAGGCTATTAATAGAGAGAAGATTATATTAATAAGGGCTAGCTCGCCTACCTAGCGGCCCGAGTCTACTAGCGATTCAGTACGTAAAAAGACTAGAGCGATATTAACGGCGATATAAGAGATATAAACGAGGATACTAGCTCGGGTCTATAGTCTAAGGATTCGATACCTACAAATAAGGATAGGGAGGGTCAAATATCTAGAAAGTAAAATAAAAAATGATTCTATCTAGTCAACTAGGATATAGCGGATTTATATTAGAAATAGGGCTAGAAATATACCGCCCGTAGCAATTATATAAATAGTAGGTACCTCTATACTCTATATAGAGATATAACGATATAATTACGATTTCGAAGGAAAGGAGGGGGTAGGTTTACCTAACGGAGATAAGAGAATAAGTCCTATTTTATATTATAAACGGTTACTAAGGAAGCCTTCGCTATAGTAGGCCTCCCTATAGGAAGAGGTAGTAGGGAGTATACTTTAGTTAACTACTATAGCCCCTTAGGGATCCGCCTAGGAATATATAATAAGCTATTCTAGCTCGAGCTAGACTATATTCATTTCGGTATATATTTTATACTAAAGAAACTATAGTTATAAAACGTTAGTTAGAGAGTATTAGAGCTAAATCTTAGCAAAGATATAGGCGTAAGCGAAGTTTATTTAAAAAAGCGAAGGAATTTTTCCTAGAATATAAATCCGATATCTTTATAGCCGTCCGAATCCGAAAAAATAGGCAAATATATATATTTAATTCCTCTATATAGAACTAATAGCTTAGAGACCTTTCGAATCTAGTATATATTATTTCTTATACCTAAATTAGGTATCCTAACTAATTACTAGTATAGGAGTCTTAATACCCTCGTCCTATCTACGAATCTAGTAAAAACCTAGGAAAAACTTAACCTAACGGAGCCTTAAAAGATCGAATCGACCTACCCGATAAGCTATAGATATTAAAAGATAAGTATCGTACTTAATAACCGAGGATAAATATAAGTAACGAAGGATATAATTAGGTACAAATCTTATAGGAGTAGATATTAGAGTATACCAGTTATAGCGCAACTTAAGATTAGTAAAAATTGTTATATTCCTACGCTTAATAGGTATAGAATATAAAGGAATAATAAACTTTCTATTTCTAGAGCTCTCTTAGTAAATAACCGACGATAAGGGCCTTGCCGAGTAGTAGCTAAAGCTCGCTTATTAAGCGGTCCTAAATTAGGACGTATTTGATAAGCGCTAGTAGACAACGAAAAAGTGCAATAACGTACTAATTAATATACGTAACGAAATTAGGAAATAAAATAACGTGATAAGACCCGCTAAGCCTACTAGATAGCACTATATAACTTATACTAGGTCTAACAACTAGGTCCTAGGGCGTATTTATATTTTCTACCGGAGGAATAATCCCTACCTTACTCCCTAAGCGCTTAGAGAGCGCTCCCTAAGTACTTTAAGTACCCCGCAATTATATTATAAATTAACGTTTATTATTAGTCTATAATACCTATTATATAATAACTGCTTTGGCTAACAATAACTAATCCTATATGATTAATTTATAAGAATCATTTTTCCTTTCCTTTAATAACTTATAATAGGACTAAAGAATATAGTTATTTACTTTAACTATAGAGGTTGAATTCGTTAAATTATCGTAAAGTTCCTTTTATATCCTTAGCTACTTATAAAATATTATATAAATCCTTCTATCCTATATATTTCGACTCTATAAATATAATAAATCCTACGATTAGAGGAGGTAAGTAGAGGGTAAGTAGAGGGTAAGCCGAAGGTAAGCTGAGAAAGAGTAGTACCTACTTTATCCTTGTAGTTAGCGTTACTCCCCTCCTCCCCTAAAGTATATTAGCGATCTCTTAAGTACTCTCGTTATCCCGTTTATCACTTACTATTAAATTCCTTAGTCCTCTTTAGAAGCTTTACCCTTAAAATACTTTAGGTTAAGATTTCTCTTAATATAAGCTAGCTACCGAATCGGAACTTATACTATCTGACTCTTCTAGGCTAATCACTATAGAGAATAAGGGAGCTTCGACTTCTTACCTAGAGATAATTTAGAGAAAGAGATAGGCTTAACTCTACTTAGGACCTAATACTTATTAATACTATTATAGATTCTAGATATAGTCCGTATCTCTTATAAACTTTAATCGATATTACCTATAGAAACGGTTATAGGCCTTTACGAGTAGATTCGAGCTAATATAGACTATTTAATCGATTATAAGGTAAAGTATAATAGCTCTAGACAATTTTTCTTATCGGCTATCGATAGTAGCCTAAATTAAGGCTATCTTATAGTATCGTTAGACTCGGTGGTTCTACCGAACGACTAAAACTCGTCCGGTAAAGAAGCCTAGAAATATAACGTCTTAGAAGATTTGACCTAATTTATCTTTATTTTCTAGATATATCCGCCGATACTAATTAATCTTTCCCGAACGATTTCGATAAGTACCTCCCGGACAGCCTAAATATAAACTTACTAAGCAACTTAGATATAACTTCTTACGACTCCGCTATTAATTTAAATAATAACTACTAATATACCTCGACTCGGCCTAGATCTTTATAAACCTTAGATACCTAATATATAAAGAATAAGACGTATATTCGTTCGGTTAGCTTAATAAGTCTAACAATCGGGCTACTAGAGAGGTCAATAAAAGTAATACTAGAAGAAATTGAATTAAGAGGCGTAATACCCGAACGCTCCCGACAATCCTTATCGAGAGTCTAGCTAATAGTTAAAGATACTCCCGATAAGGACGAAATTGGTACTATCAATCTAATTAGCTCTAACGACATTAATTCGAGTAAACGATACTTATTAGAGCTATAGTAAGGAGCCGACTATACTCCTAGTAATATAAGGGGTAGTGACCCTAATAATTATTCAATTTTAAATAAAAGCTTTAGGGAATCGGATATTAACTTAGCTATTAGTGATTCTATAAGTAAAGACGAGAATCCGGTCGTCTTTACCTCGAATCCCTAAGGTAGTATTTCTATATCTATTTCTCCTTCGCTTAATAATAATAGCCTATCTACGCTACCTAAGAAGCTTCTAGATACGTCTTACTCGCCCTTACTAATTAGGGGTTTTCACTTAAGCTCTAAGCGGAAGCTTTCCCTTACTATTAGATCTTAGTCAGACCAATCCTCTAGGAACCTTAGGCCCCGCCTTATTCCTAAGCAACTAAAAGAGCCTAAGTAACTAGAGGAGCCTAAGTAACTAAATATAATAGTTAAAGATTGTAAACCGAATAAACCTAATATTCTAGAATCGGTATATTCCCGACTAACTTCGTAACAGCTAGCGGAAGTCTAGCGTACCGGCGAACGCCTTTATTCGTATAACCTCGCTGCCTTTTTAGAAAACTACTCCTATACCTAGAAGGTCTCTGGTTTCTAGAGCGGCCCTTCCTAGAATAACTTAAGTTCCTCGAATACTAATCGAAAGCCTAATTGTACTAGTCTTATAACCTATTTAATACGCCTATATAATAAGAATGATATATATGATATAAAGCTATACGTTACTCGATATTCTCTGTTTCTTTTTTTTATTAGAGAAATCGAGTATAAACGTTAACGGGGTATAGTAGAGACTACTCTAAAAAGAAATATTATTAGTACGCTTTATAACTTAAGAGGCCTAATACTAGTCGAGAAAAGAAAACTCCACAAATCTTTCTATAATAAAAAGAAAATTAGTGAATATTAGTAGTAGTATATATACTACTTCGGCCCTAGCTTTCTTATTCGGTATAGCAAAGAAGTAGGCAAAAAAATATAAGAATTCTTTTAGTATAGTACTATTCCCCTTAACTAATAGATATATAGAAACAATTCCTATTTCCCGCTAGATACTATAATTGCCTACGCCCTATATAGGAACCCTCCTACTATAAAGCCTTATCCCGCCCTTAATAAGGCCGTAGTCTATTTGCTAATAATAGGTAAGTTTTCGGGTAAGTTCTTATATTAAGATATCTAAAAGTAGGAGGAATCCCCCGCTATAGAATTTATTACGCTTAAGGTATAGCGACCTTTTAGTACTAAAGCGGTTACTAAGGAGGCTCTAGTGAGCCTAAACGAATAGAAGGCTAACCCTATAAATCGTATACTAACTTTCTAACCTATTCGCGAACTCTATAGTTCCCTCTTCTGCTAAGTTATTCTAGTATAATATTACCTACGTAAATACTTAAGGGTCCTAGTGGTTTGTTAGTTAATAATAGGTTATTAGCCGCTAAAGTATATATTCTAATATAATCCTATTCCTACTCTTTGCTTATTTTTTATAGCTCGATTAAATAAATCTTAGAAGTTGTTGCTATACCGAAAGACTATAAGATTTCCCGCTAGATATAGGAACTAAAGCGATTGCGGCTTAAGCGAACTAGCGACTGCCCTAGAACGGCTCGCTGTTATGATCTTTTGGTCTAATGGTTAAATCCTCTTATATAATTATAAAAAACGAGATTTTAATACTTACTATTTAAGTTTGGTAGCAATTAGTTATTAAACCTACCCTTTTCGGTAGTATGTTGATGCCTATAATGCCTAAGGTATGATTAAACTCGCTAAGGGGGGGTAACTAAGCTGCTTAATAAATATCTAGACGTATTCCGCCCTTACACCCTACGCTAGATAGCGAACCCCTTCTATATTAACGTCGATTTATATCTTTCGATTACTTGCTAAATACTGATTTTAATAAGCGATAGAAGAAACAATCGCCGAGCTACGACGTTAGCTTAAGGAGGAGAGATAAGCGCGAGAAGAAGAAAGAAAGGCGCGAGAAGAAGAAAGAAAGACGCGAGAAGAAGCAGAGCGTCGTAAAGAAGAAGAGAGGAAGGCGCGAGAAGAGGTAGAGCGGTAAGTACAGCCTAATACACTATTTCGCCTTCTCGATCGCTATTATAACTCTTTATCTTAAGCGATCCGAGTTAAGACGGATACGACCCTTATAACCTAGGGCGACGCGACCGACCTAGTAAACCGACTTTACCCTAAGCGTATAGTCCCTTAGCTTAACTTCCCTTAACTCTAAGAGTAAGTCTAGAAGAAATTCGACTATACGGGTACCTTTATCTCGCGCC